ACACACACACACACACACACACACACACACACACACACACACACACACACACACACACACACACACTGTTAGTTTTGAAATATTAATTCTTGAAACTAATTCTAAAAATTTATTTTTTAAAGCTAATTTTCAATTGGTTTATTGATTATTGAGACAGCAATTATGTAAATATTCTATTTCTGTATACGTTTTTGTGTATAATCTTGTGTATAATTCTTCATGTGTAATGTATAACATTTCCAATATTATATATCTATTGTACAAATTACCAGAGTGCAAGTTTCTTGAAGCGATTCTTGGAATACTAACAAAATTAACTATGATTACATTATTGGTAAAACCACGCATGGTCATAAAGAATTACATAAGAATAACATAATAGTAAAAATAAGAATTGAAGATATATACAGGGTGGGCCATCTATTGGTACGTTTTTAATTGGTACGATTTCGTTCATGTGGCTCCCTCTACTGGCCTTACAGTATGCCATTCGGTTTTTTTAATTGGTACGTTTTTTATTGGTACGATTTCGTTCATGTGGCTCCCTCTACTGGCCTTACAGTATGCCATTCGGTCACCCCAATTATTCAAAAACGTACCAATAGATGGCCCACCCTTTATTTTTTTTTAGAATTAAAAATTTAAGAATTAAATTTAAGAATTAAAAATACATAAGAATTACATAACAAGAAAGAATTTATATGCCAAATATGTCTGTCAATGCCCCTACAGTACAAAAATTGCAGCAACATTGTGCTGTATGAGTAATGTTGAGTACATGAAAATTATCTTTATTTAGATACAGACGCGACTGTTTCGAGGATTTGTTTCTCTCTGGACAAAAGAGAAATTTTCTTGTTGTATTTTTCACGAAGATTTTGAAACAAAAATAATTGAGTTTCATATTCTTTCTTGAGATCGGCGTTGAGTCGCATTGCTGCGTCCATTTTACTAATCATTGTGCTATGCCAATCGCGTTCTTCAGAGATTTTCTTCTCCATGTTGTCGACTTCAGCCTGCAACGTATATCAAATATTAATTTAAAAGTACGTTCTAAAGTAAATAATACATACTATCCGTGTAGCGCGTAATATCATAGTAATATCGCAGCAGTATTGCAATATATCAGAAATATTACATATTACAGTGTAATATCACAAAAATACCATGGTATTACTGATATATTGGGTGGATCCATATATTCGTTCGCTTTTTGTTAATAG